AGGGTCCTCAAGGGCATTTCTTGCCTGTTACCCTTAAATATACATACATACAATCATCAAAAGTAACAATCCAACTGCCGTTTCAACACAACCACGATATTCGTGTCACAATTTCGCTTGAAAACGAATTACCCGGCAAAATGACATAATGTTGGGTCTCATTGAATACATTCATATTTGATCTTGTTCGAGTGACTGCGCAGCTTTCTCAGTTTTAAATTCAACGATATCTTCGGATTTGTGCAAAATACCTACCCAGGTGACCTCTCATTTGTCGGTAGAATGTGGGAAACAATTTAAGCTTGATTTGTTTTTATGGATATAAACAAGTTCCAAGCAACCCTCAATTTTTATGCGTTGTTTCACCTGATCGCCGGGGTTGCTGTCTTTATTCAGCCAGAGCATTCATATTGGCATTCTGTACTCCAAATGTGTTTTAACCGAACGAAACAAAGATCTGCACCACCACACTGCAGGTAAGATTAGGAAGGTGCGCTGAGTCCAATACATGATGTACGTTGACACTTGGAGAGAGAAGAGAACCATAGAATGAACAACTCAAATGACCAATTCCTACCGTAACAAATGCGGATTCCATAGTACCAAGAAGCACATTTTGTGGTCGCCATACGAGGAAAATATAATAAACAAAAGCGTTTCCCAGGCTATCACATGTAAGTGTAGTATCACACGTTTTGCTGCAGTCGAAAAGTATGACACCCACTAGATGGCCCTCGTCCATTGCTTTTGACATTTTTCGAAGTAGATGTTAATTGAAGGGATTCGGTTATGGGCGATGCAAATTACACGATAACCTGTTCTTATATATTATTTGCATATAACCTGATCAAGTAAGTGTATTAAAACGGCAGAACGCACCATATTCTCGCATGGATCTAGGTAATACTTCGTCGGTATAAATGATAGGAGACTCAAGAAGCATTCGCATCTAGACCTAACCCTTTATCGTAGGACTTCCAATGAACGCTCAAACACTGAATTTACGTTCCATTATCATGCAACTGCTAGCGGAATAAAAACATAATATTCCGGAGTTCTTGGTTTCGGGATAAAACTTCACTCTTTACCGTCGCCTGACTAGCTTGCCATCTATCCACCACTTCTCTTCGTTTGTCTGATGAAATGCAATGAGTGTTTTGAAGGTTAAGCGTGAGCGCTGTTTATTAATTTACCCTGTTAGCGTGAGGAGGCAAGCGGTTTAAAAAATGGTTAATTCACAAAAAATGATGCCTTTAAATAATGGATTTAAGTGTCCAGCAGTCGGCATTGGCACTTCAGATGTAAGTTCACGCTCTTTCACAGAACTCTTTGTTAGGCCAAACCTGCAGATTTAGAAAAGGCAATTTTATGCGCTGTTGATGCAGGTTATCGACATATTGACTGTTCCCCAATATTTGGAAATGAGGATGCAGTTGGTATTGCTTTGCAGATGAAATTTGCTTATGGCTCTGTAAAAAGAGAAGATATGTTCATTACCTCCAAGGTAAGCATTACTGGAATGATAAAGTAACTCGAGTTATCTGTATAGCTATGGAATGACTGTCACGGAAAAGGAAAAGTAAGATCAGCATGCGAAGAGAGCTTAAAGAAATTGAAGTTGAAGTTTCTCGATCTTTATCTTATTCAGTGGCCGACTGCACTTCAGGTAAACGCCGAATAACATTTATCTCGTCAGTAGGTGCAAACAAACACAAATGTTTCCGCTGCCAATTCCAGCGATCTGATTTTTGAAGATACCCCAATTGAGGAAACATGGAAGGTATTATTTTTTGAATGTTTAGTCATGTTATTTAATGATTGTCCGGTCAACACACTTTTGATAAGTTTTGTCTGGTAAACTTCAGAACTGTAACAGCAAAAACATAATGAGAAGAATTTTCCAAGAACAGTTTTGCGTAAAGATTGCAGTTGTTAGGATGCAAAATACTCAAAAATTTTGCTCCGGTGGTTTAACAGTTTCTATTTACATCGCTTCCTGATGAAACGTTATAAGCCTAGTTCGTTTTGAAAGGTTCGATCTCATAAATTACTGTTCAGGTTTGTGAAACTTCTCGGTAATGAGGCACTTCAGATAATTCGATAGAATGCCTAGAAAACTAAGATAAGGATGCGCCCATTCTGATAATGCTTGCTTTCTCTAAATGAGAAGCTTCATAACGGTAAACAAATGGCCCGGTTTTTTAGTAAGATGACGTTTTTCAATGTGGTAAGCCGACAGAATAAAAGCATGCACAATAAAATGCGTTAATTAACATTTTTTAAAGGCATATAAATACGAGTGAATAGGTTGTTCTCGATAAACCTGCGACATGTTAACTTTTCATGGTTGCTAACGACAAAATGAAAGTTTGAGTGCACCGACATGGTCAATTTTGAAGGCTTAAACTTCATCTTATTTATACTTTCAATGAGCGTACTGGGTTTTATGCTAAATCGACTTATTGAAAGAACGACGGGTCATTGACTCTTTCCCAAAACGCGCTGAAATTATTTCGGAGGTTGAAATATGTGGACCACCTCCAAAGTAATTCTTTTTCGAAGGCGATTTCTTCCGGATATTGGCATTAGAAATAGGCATTATTGCTAATCTTTATTTGAACTTCATGTTCATATTCAAGTAAAATGCATCGAGTCTAAAATATAATTTTAATCTCACATTTCATTTATACTATTCGTTTACGTTTGTGTTAATTATTTTTTCCAACTGATTAAGGAAATGGAGAAACTAGTTGATGCAGGACTTGTCAAGTCAATCGGTCTAAGTAACTTTAACGAGACACAAATCGAACGGGTGCTGAAAATCTGTACAATCAAGCCGGTGATGCTGCAGATCGAAAGTTCAGCAAATTTTCTCAATGAACGTCTCATTGAATTTGCTCATTCCTATGGTATTCAGGTGACGGCTTATGCGCCCCTAGGATCGCCCGGGATGATGCAGTAAGTTATAGCCTCCCTGCGTTTTGAGAACTATACGTTTTGGAAGAAATATTATATGCATCTTTACTTTATAAAAGAAACTATTTTCACAGGTTGCAGAACGTCAATTCATTGGAGCTGTCCACTAATTTAACGCAAACGGCTATCCATTTCACCGAATGATATGCTTTTAATTTCAAACCAACCATCAGCTGTTTATTTAAGTACGGGAGTTTCTATTCCTAGCGGTGCAAGAAAAGCACTCCGGGGCTGCATGATTCATTTGTGCATTAACCAGATCAGTATGTGTTAAAGTGTCAGCAATAAGCGCCTATATTTCCTTTATCAAAAGAACCTGGAAGGTATGGACGCCATCACTGTAAGACCTTTACTCGATGACTATACAAAACAGTTCAGCATGTGAGAAGTCTGCTAAGGAACGCATGTAAATTTTAATGCAGTTCCCGGATTTTATGAAAAAGCGCCTCCGCATGTTTTTTAATTTGCAAACTTTTTCTAAGGCAGCAAAATTTAACAATAATCATTACCTTTTGAGATGATACATTCATATGGGAACTTAATTGCATTTAAACTCGTATTATGTGTGCCGAAGATTACCGAACACTCTTCCTCACTTGTTAAGTCAGTCAAGGCACGTATCCATCATCATGTTGATTAATGTGTTGCTTTTCGTTCAACATACCTTTGAGCTTTCTGCTTAATAACAATTGCAACAGATTTTGCCATCGAATAAATATTTCGATTTCGTTGGATTTCATAAATACCTACAGTCATTTATTACAAACATAGAAAAGCTAGGTCCGAATTCCTAAATCCCTCTCGACTAGCTAATTGTTCCTTTGAAAAATTCCTTTCACATTCTATCCGCTGTTGGTTTGCCGCATGCATAATTTGACGGGTTACCTGTTAGACATATTATTTCACAAGCGACGGGGTTTGCGATGCAGAGTTTAAATTACTGTAAAAAAAAGAAAAAGTAATACATTTAGAAACCCTGCCTAATATGAATCGAAGTGACTCGTGGAGGCTTAGTTGCATAATGTCCAGCATGAATTCCCAAACAGAGCCGTTACGATATCGAATACAGTTATTACCATTTATTTAAGATGCACTGATTGTCGTGGATACACCTGGTTGGCAGAGAAACTATGGCACCTGAAATGTCGGCGCAATGGCCTCCAAACTGCTTACTTAAAGTTGCTAATTTATTTTAACTAAAGGCGTGTAGGATGCACGTGTCACTTTTTAGGCCTATCGTCCTAGGATATAAAGCTTATGTAAGTCAGTGTGTTTTACATTAATCATGAATAAGCTAGGCAAGTATTGACCACACTGGCAACAGAGATAATAGCGTTAAGTCCAGAAATGTTTTTCGCCGATATTCTGCCCCTGTTTGAAACAGCTGCGAGGCGTCCGGCTCATCAGTGAGTCCTCAGCATTCTCTATGTGCCTTCTGGTGTCAGAGGAAGACAGTAGGGCATTTGTTTGTCATTCTGATGACAGCGTTCTAGCTTCCCCAATTGTTTATGCGGAATTAGAGGGGCACATGGGGGAGCTGGAGGGAGGAGCTGTTTGGGATATATTTCCACTCTCTTCAGTCAACCTTACTCCAATACCGTTCCTATGAAAAAGACCGCACACCAAACATTTTATCGATGGGAAACAGACGAAATGCTTACTCTCAAAGTGCTAAGTGAATTAAAATAGGAGATTAGTGAGTGTTTTTTAGAAGTGGAAATGAATTGCAACCTGGTTAGGTGGAACATGTCCCTTTTGAAAAAACTTAAGTTGTATTTTAAGCGAACTATACCCTTTTGTCTGGCTTAATCTTTACTTGTCTTAGCATAGTCGGAAGTTTTGCGGTGTTGATTGGAAAAGAAGGAGATGGGAAAGGAAAAGGAATGACCGACGCAGCTACTTTGCATCGTAGGCATTTCTGAAAGCCTGATTAGCTCGTCAGTTTAACGTTTTATACAGGCAAAAGGGAACGACCTTTCAGTTAGCTTACCTGGCTAGTCGATAATCGGCTAAACGTGGTTTTTAGCTGAAAATTTTCCAAGGCAAATAGTTTGAAGTTATTCAAGTAAAAATTGAGACTTGAAGATCGTACGTAGCGTAAGAAAAGTGATTATTCACAGTTTGGTAGCGAAAACTCCCAAGAGAAAAGCCAAAATCATACCGGACCAAATAACCCCTGCGAAGATGATACTAAAACAAAAGGAGTCATCCACTTAAGGACGGGGGCAGTTGAGAAAGAACAAGACCGATAAACGGAAGGCCAACCAGTTAGTCACGGAACAGTTGATCAACTTTTCCTTGCCAAATGACCTGCACCCCTGGGCCGCATAAAGACGTATAGATCTAAACGGCCTTGACTAAGGTTCCAACGCGCAAAGTCAACAACTTAGGACACAGTCTTCTTATTGGCCATCGATTTTTCTGGATTCTAACCGTTCGCACTTTCATTGTCATATGAGATTCCTCAAAACGGGCAAATCTTCCCAACGACCACTTAACAGATTGGCTGGCAAGGAAAGCATATCACACCCAGGATGGCGTATGCTTCGTAAAAGGCAATTAGAATTACTAACCGATCTCTTCAATGGCCAACCAAAATGCTGAAACGCGTTTTTAAATAGAAAGGGTTACCTGAGTGGGGTTGTGATCATTATATTGCATAATTATGAACTATTTCAGGCACCTCAGGATACCGCCTTTTTAGTGCACATCTATTTGACCGCCTGCTAAAACCACACTCGATAGAAAATGCTCACATACGCCGCATGAATGTTTCTAGTGAGTTATGATGCCCTGATAAATTCAAATATGCTTTATAGAAAGCGCGCAAAAATATAATTTGTCATATACTGTTATAGAAAATCAAGCTTCTTGAAATTTTGTAACTGAAGGAAGAGTAATTTTGGTTATAAGCTACGTTGCAATTCTAGGATGTTTTTTAAGACCACACAATGTCCATGCAAATGGCACCTTATATTGGCTTTTATTACCGTTCTTTACAAATTATACGACGTAATGCGCTTGTACGGCAAAATTTAATGAGCACCACAATATACCTTTCTAATGGTATAGCCGAATGAATGCTTTTCCTTACACGGAAGCCATACAGCTTATAGAATAAAAAATATAAATTCAAATACACTGACAGACCTGTGTCCAAGTTATTTGATATGTGGAAAATGTTTTAAAATGCAAACGTGCTCATCTTCTTTTAATACAATTTGAAGAAAACGTGATTTGCCATGAAATGTGCAAAAGAAAGATTTTTGATTAACTTTTCCGTAAAATAAATCAAATGGTCAATAGACAAACATATAATACCTACGTGGTCATTTTCATTCCAATCATTGAAATGGTTTGCCATTACGCAACCGCTGAAATTTTAACAGCCATTCTCTATATCCAGTACCTTGTCTCGTATATTCTGTTCAAAATTCAAAATTTTTGAGCTAAAATGTAGTCGGTTTAAGAACACTTTCGTATTATATGAATAGTGGGTATGTCAAGCAGACAATTGTTTTTGAACTTGATCGTGCTGCATTGAAATCACTCCGAATAATGGAAGCATTCAGTTACCCAAGCCAACGAAAGAGTTCTTTTTCCATCAACTGATTTTTAAAAATCGAGGCAGAAAGTTAGGGCTGCCTCTGTTCACATAAAACAGGACCCTATGTTGGCCAGAAAAAAGCGGAGCAAATCCATCTGCTTGGATAAGAGCCAAATAGAGAAAAATAAAAAAACTTTCTCTGACGATTTTGGATAAATCCGTGTGTGCGGTATGGCAATAAATATTACTAAAGCTACTGAGCTTCAACATCAACCACCCATTTAGCTCCAACTTCTGGTCTTTTTTGGTGGTCTGTAGGCGTGTTGAGGGTCCTAGCCACGGCTGGAAGATAGAGAGTTTCAAAAACTTCCCGATCGACGAGACCCTCGGAAAACGTGGTCAATCGGTATATGCAAGGGCAAACTGTAGTTGACAGAATTTTTATAAAACGTCAACCTAGTACTCACGGCACCTAGATTTCGAGTTGTAGAAAAATCTTAGGTAACCATCAAAGTGATGTGGTCCAAAATTTTGACAGAAAACTGTGCACTCGTTTACCAAACTGGGCGCAGTTCTGGACCAATTATTTTTTGAGGACCAGGAAGGGTAGTCTGGACACTATGAGCCGAACACACACACACACACCAGGAGTTAGGAGGAAAAATGATGCCAATTCATAAGTCGCGATTCACTCAAAAGATTCTGGCCATAGTTTTGTATGGCGATGAATTTGGGTGAAAGTCCGAAACTTCAGTCGAGACATCACTGCTTCCTTGTCTACTATCTCATGGAACGTGCCTTTTTCGTTTGTACTAATGCAGTTAAAAGTTTAGCAATAATGATTAAATGCTCATAGAGTATGCTATTTGGCCACGTTATTTGAGCATTTCACTAATTTTCACAACTGAGGCCTGTAATGTCAGTTGCCAGCGAAGTTTAAGGCGTAAGTTTGTATACATTGGGAAGGTTGCCAGTTTAAAGCAATAGCCTTTTGTGAGCTGCTCGCGTCTGAGATTGTCTGCAACTGATGACACAGTTTGCGAACGTTTAGACTTCAAATAAACTAGCTAAGTGTGTGCCACATTTTGTAGTCTGACCCACTTAGTAGTTATCTTCGTCAATTCAGGCCGATGACAACTAACAGCCACGTGTGTCAACTTCTAAAACTACTTGGTTAGGACTGTCAAATTATTTAGGCATTTCAACTGCAGGTAGCAGCACGTCATCGTGTGAAGTAGAAAGTGACGGTTTACCGTTTTTTTGTAAACGGATATGTGTTGACGACAGTATGAATCGTTTCACCTTGTGTCGCCAACGTTATCAACTGTCGCGGGTCTCGACTTTATCCGAATAGGCGCGAAATCGGGGTGTTTGGTTTTCACTTTTGTTTTACAAATCTGTTTGGGTAAACATTATAGAGGATATGATCGTGGAAGTGGCTTCATGCCTCTGAGGTAATCCCACGTTTGAGGTCCGATTTAACTTTTATTTCGAGGCACCTTTTTACACTAGATATGATCACTTTGGGCCTAATCGTCCATTGTGCTACTTCTATAATCAGTTTCACTGAACTATTAGAACGACTGAGGACATCCTGGCAGGTAGCTTATGTGTATCCAAAGGTCACGGAATGGTACAGCACAACCCAAAATACAAATAAGAGGGAGGAATTAAATGTTCCCATTTGCTCGGTTTCCGCGTCTAGAGAATATCACAGATAATGCATCTTCGACTTGGTCTCCCCTGGTAACGAAGATATCAGATATAGGGTGTCCCAAAATTATTTGCGCCTTTTAACGATTCGACAATTTCTTAATAATTAAATATTAAACAATAGTACCTATCTAGTACTTAACCTAATTGATTGCTGATTTATTTGTTAACAAATGTTTAATACAGTGTTTACCGTATAATTCAGTAGTACGGACATAATAGAAAACTGTAAACCAGTATAAAACAGTGTCTAAGATTCTGATGGCGCGAAGTTCAGAGGACAGAGCCTGAGCTATAGGTATGATGGAGGCCCGAGTGAAGCGAACAGAGGTTGCAAAGGCTGTAAGTATACCTGACAGAACGGTTGAGTATTTTTGGTCACAGTACAAGTGGACAGATACGATCACAAAGCAGAAGAACTCTGGAAGACCAAACATTTTGGGGAGAGTTGAAAAGATCGATATTGCAAAATCCATTGGCAAACCAAGGCGAAGCAAAAGGAAACTTGCAAGGAAACTGAATACTAAAGGCCTGAACGATTCTCCATCCAGTATGCACCGCTATTTGCATGAAAGTTTGGGTGCTGCCACCCAGCACAGAAGGAAAATCTATAGATTAACAGAAAAACAGATCCCAGGCAGGGTGGCCGTCTGTAAGGCGGTCAGGAGGTGGACTGTAAAAGACTGGAAACAAGTCGTGTTCTTCGATGAATCGTCGTATGAACTGTTCCATTCGCCAAACACAAGGATGACGTTTTTTAGACTCCAAGTCGTGACATGGTTCAAAATGTTAAAGTTCAGATGTTTAGCCTTACAGTCGTGGTGTGGGGAGCAGTGTCCTTTGGAGAGATCTCCGACCTCGACATTATGCCACAAGGTCAACGAGTGAGTGATGAATATTGTAGGGAAGAGATCCTAAAGCAAAATCTGTTTAAAAGATTAGAAAGAAAGCTTGTGAGCAGGGGAAAATGTGGAAGTAGACTTGTTCTGGACATGTCATGCATACATTTTATACAGGACTGGGCTACAGCTCACACAACTCTAGAGACCCAGGGGTAGCTGCCAGAGAAAATTCCGCATTTCTGGTGGAGAGATATGTGGCTAGCAGGTAGTCCTAACTTAAATCCAATTGAAAATCTATTGTCAATTCTTGGTAACATGGTTGACACGAAACTGCCCACTCCTAGTACTGTTGTTGGATTAAAGGGAGCGCCGCTGGACGCCTGGAGAAAGATCCTCCCAGAGACACTCCACAATTTCATTCACTCGATGTAAAACAGGGTAGAAGCTGTCCTAAAGGTCAAAGGAAAATCTCCTGTAAAGTGAATTGTGAAATTTAGATTACTTTAGAAACTGTGGCTGTTTTTAGGGTGCAAAGAATTTCGGGACACCCCATACATCAGTCTTTATTACCTTACCTGCTCGTATCCAAAGCTTTCTAATATCCCCTGTGACACGGAGAAATGTGGCCCATTGTTTCACACTTTTGGTCTAGGCACAAGTCGCAAAAATTTGGCAGATGAAAGAACACGCCGCCGTCTGCATGCAAACCGCGCTAAGCCAATTAAGACAGCCACCTTTACGGGCATTTCACGACCGTAGCTGTTGCGCTACATTCGTTTCAACTTCTGACAATCTGAGCAGAGGTATATTTTTGCATGCAATTGCGCTGAACTAAATCCTACTTCTAATCAACTATGGCATCGGTCTTAATGACCATTGGCTAGGCAATACTTCGTAGTCTTATTATGAATGTGCTCTACCCCCAAAGGGCCTTTGTCAACTTAGCTTTTCAGAAATAATATCCTAGCTTTTTAGCAAAACGTAACGTCCAAGTCATTTTTGAGAATTTACCTAGATGATAAACACAACTTTAGTTATTGAGGAGCCGTAATAAATTGACTTTGCCCGCTTTCTAATTCTCACAAAGCCCAGGGCAATTGTTGCCTAGATACGTTTGTAGAAAGCATCTTTCTTTTGTATCCCCTATGAGGCGAGTCTTCTTTGTGTTGCCGTTGAAGTAGTTGCTAAGGAGGAGCACAGCCCACAGAAACTAAATGGCCGTAGTTGGCCATTCAAAAGTCTCATAAAGTAGCCTAACTGGTACGTACATTTGCACATTTCACGAGTTGGGCGTTCCATTGGCGTAATTTATAGAAATTCATAGTTCTGGCTACTCAACTGATGATGAACATGCACGACCTGTCTAACCTTTAAGCTTTTAACGGCACTAATGCGATCTGAATTTGGTCGATTTAGCTCTGCGCATATACTCTCTAGAACAGTCTGCGATTGTTTCCGAAACGCGTCCTAATTCCAGCGGGCGTATCACTTTGAGGAAAGTTCACCAATACAGAGCGACAACTCGATTGATGCAGATGAAAGTGCCTACCGTGCACGTTAATTAGCTTGCTATCATATCAGATATGTGCAGCAGCATTTGCCGCACTCCCCCATCCATCATTCATCAATGGGAAAGATGGGTCACGATGACCGGGCAGGGTTTTGGGCGCGGTGCCTAACAAAGCTAAACAGCCCTCTACGCACACCAAATGCGCGAACTCTTTCGCTCAAAGTTTTCACGAAAATGGCGACTCGGCTCCCGCTTGCGTGAAAGTGCAATAGAGGCCACATACCATCCCTGAGCCTGCTTACCAGTCCTGAGAGGGACTGCGTTAGCCCATAAGATAACAATATTCAGAACTATGGCTTTAAGCGCACCATGACAGTTTAACATATTTCGCAGTTTACGTAA